CTCTACATGTTCGGTACATAAATCGGTTGCGCCGATTCTTTCGCGTTCGTCCACATTCGTCGGTGGTCGCGTCCCGTGAGGACCGTGATTGGCGCGCGCGGTGTATCCTTGCGCGCGGAGAAATAGGGGCCTGCGGCCGAAGCACGCCCGTAGGTGTAGTGGTAGAGTAGTCGTCGTTAGCAAGAGAGAGCGTGTGCGTGCCCAACCGGCACTGCCGAGATAAGCTAAGTTTCGGAAGTGAACAGTAACCGCGGTGTTGTCAGAAAACTAGAAATAAAAGCCAACTAAGAGGAATACGAGTTTCTTCGCTCACGCCTTTCCCGAATCGCAAAATCTTCCGGTGAACCGGCGTGACGGGCACATGCCCGGCGTATCATTACGCTACTTTATGGTCCTTCGAGCCGGATATTCGGCACCCGCCAGATCAAGCACTGGGGAACCTCGCAACCAAGCGAGCAGCATCTTCAGCTTGATCGCAAGAAGCACCGTGGTACGCGCAACCCAACCTGAAGCTTGAGGCTCGCCGACAAGATCGGCAGATCGTTCTCGCACGCATCTGCGGACAACGACGACGGCTCGCAAAAATCATTCGAGCATCATATCCAAGCTCGGGGCGCAAGCAGGACTCAGCGCATCCACCAGAACGCATTCTGCCGCTCGACGGGAACCTTCTGGAACGCATCCTGCCGCCTGCCAAGGAAATTTCCGGAACGCATTCTGCCGCTCGACGGGAACCTTCTGGAACGCATCCTGCCGCCTGCCAAGGAAATTTCCAGAACGCATTCTGCCGCTCGACGGGAACCTTCTGGAACGCATCCTGCCGCCTGCCAAGGAAATTTCCAGAACGCATTCTGCCGCTCGACGGGAACCTTCTGGAACGCATCCTGCCGCCTGCCAAGGAAACTTCCAGAACGCATTCTGCCGCTCGACGGGAACCTTCTGGAACGCATCCTGCCACCTACCAAGGAATTTTCTCGAGCGCGTCTCATCGCCTGACGAGGACAGCCACACGTCAGCAGCAACGAGGCCCCCGTTCGCGCATCTCCGGTAAGGGTGACTGTTATTATCTATAGTGGTACCAATCATTCTCGCGTTTTCCTAATTATATTGCGGTTCCGCGCCGTCATCTTAACGCGAGTGTAACAGTCGAGGCAAGGTCAAAATGGCCACCGAACAAATTCCTGTCGCGCCTAAGGCACGACGTACGGTCATTAAGGGCTCGTGCACGCGTATCAAAACATACGTAGACGCTGTTTCTAATGTAACGCCGTCGGTAATTGCTCAACTTGAAGAGCGAAAGGCGAAACTGGACGATTACTGGGTCGCGTATCACGAGGTACAATCGCAACTCGAGGCGTTAGATCCAAACGAGACTAAGGATCGCGTAGGATTCGAAGACTCGTTCTACGCGCTTTCAGCTAGAATTCGCGAAATTCTTCGTCCGGCATCGACGCCACGCGCACCGACGAGCCCGCCCTCCGCAACGACGAACCCGCCCCCCGCGTCACAAACATCCAATGGATCCGAGAGTCGCAGTAGCATCCGATTGCCCAAGTTGAATCTTCCATCGTTCTCCGGCAAATATGACGAATGGTTTCCATTCTACGATTCGTTTAATTCAATAATTCATTCCAATCTTTCAATTAGCAAGGTGCAAAAATTGCAATATTTGAAAACTTCGTTAACGGGAGAAGCAAGTAATATAATAAGCTCATTAGAGATCTCAGACATAAACTACGAAGTAGCATGGAATTTATTGAAGGAGCGTTATGACAATAAGCGCATAGTTGTGCATACGCACATCAAGGCAATAATGGAACTGCCGGCAATGACGAAGGAAAATTCAACTGGGCTGCGACGATTCTCGGATGGTGCCACCCGGCACATACAGGCGCTTCAGGCACTCAAACGTCCTACGCAACATTGGGACGATATAATCGTACACGTATTAAGTTCAAAACTCGATACACTCACACTGCGAGAATGGCAAGCGTCGCTAGGGGGATCGGATCCTCCCACGATTAAACAGTTCGAGGAGTTCATTAACCGTCGTTGCCAAATGCTTGAGGCGACCGGCAAGTCTAATGACACACCATCGAAGGATGCCAACAAAAGATCGCAACCAAGCGAAAGGCGCCAGGCTTCCTGCGTAGCCACCGTCAAACAAAGGTGCAATTACTGTAATGGCGAGCACGCTGTATATTACTGTAAGGACTTCCTGGATTTGTCCGTACCTCGGAGAATCACCGCAGTTCGTGAACGCAAGCTGTGCGTCAATTGTTTGCGCTCCCCCGCTCATGCTTTAAACAAATGTACCTCGAGGGGGTGCAAGGTTTGCAAGGTAAAGCACAACACATTGCTGCATCAAGCCGACTCATCAACAAACAATCCCGAGCCGCCCAAGGACTCGAAGACGCCAACATCATTGGTCGCAACAGGAACGTACGTCTCAAGCAACAGCTGCGAGAGGTATACCATGCTTTCCACCGCAGTTGTCAACGTTTTCGATTGTAAAGAATCACCGCTACCATGTCGCGTCCTACTTGATTGCGGTTCTCAAGCCAACTTCATTTCACGAGAATGCGTGAACACCTTGGGTTTGAGGACACGCCCGTGGAATATATCAATCTCTGGTATAAGCAACACAGCCACTAAGGCTACGCAATCGGTCAAGATACAATTACAGTCTCGTCTGAACTCATACACGGCGGCGGTGGATTGCATCGTAATGGATCAGATCACGGATAAGCTGCCCGCATTTACCATGCCACGGGGAGAGTACAACCTTCCGCACAATCTCAACTTGGCGGATCCGCAATTTAACGTCTCGTCGAAAATCGACATCCTCCTCGGGGCGGAAATATTCTGGGAATTACTATGCGTGGGGCAAGTCAAGTCCTCCCCCAGTCACCCAACCTTGCAGAAGACGCGATTCGGTTGGATCTTAGCGGGGCGCCTGAGCAACAGCCGGGATTCTGAAAGGAACATACGCTCCTTCCACGCATCCATTTCCAACGATCAATTACAAGAATAGTTGTCTCGGTTTTGGCAAATCGAGGACGTCGGCGAATCTACGGGATACAACAAGGAAGAAAATCATTGCGAAAATCACTTCCTGGAAAATGTCTCTCGAACTTCTCAAGGCAGGTATGTTGTAAAACTACCGCTAAGGGAACCGTTTCCCAGGAACCTCGGCAATTCCAGAGACATCGCATTGAGACGCTTGAAGAGTATAGAGAGGCGACTGAGTCGAAATTCATGGCTGAGAACCCAATACGCACAATTCATGGCAGAATACTTGAAACTCGGTCATATGAAACAGGTGGACGTTCACCCAAACGAAGACATAACATACTACCTACCGCATCACTGCGTCTTCAAGAATCCCAATCAGCCATCGAAGATTCGAGTGGTATTTGATGCCTCGTGCAAGAGCGATGTCGGCACGTCTCTAAACGACATGTTATGGGTTGGCCCTGTCATTCAAGAAGATTTGATGTCCATCGTGATGCGATTCCGTACGTATTCGTATGTGCTTGTCGCGGACATCGTCAAGATGTACCGTCAAGTATTGGTGCACCCTTCGCAAACATCACTACAGAGAATACTGTGGCGAGCTGATCCAATGGCAGACGTCGAAACATATGAATTGGCCACGGTCACCTATGGTACGTCATCAGCTTCATTTCTGGTAACTAGGTGCTTAAAACATCTGGCAGAACAATACTCATCAAGGTACCCATTGGCTTCAAAATGTATCAGCCGTGACTTTTACGTCGATGACCTTTTGACCGGAGCGGACACGATTCAAGAAGCGGCATCCATACGAGATCAGACAATTCAACTACTGAAAAAGGGACAATTTGAGCTTGACAAGTGGGCTTCAAACTGTCCACAATTGTTAGAGTCATTAAACAATAAAAACTGCGAACCAATAAACATTGACGACGGCGTTAGCACACACATCCTAGGCATACAATGGAATCAAGCATCCGACACGTTTCATTTTTCTTACGAACCCGGGGAGGGTCATGCTAAGATATCTAAGCGTACTATATTGTCAGACATCTCCAAGCTGTTTGATCCACTAGGACTTCTTGGTCCAACCATTGTCATTGCCAAACTAATTTTGCAGGAATTGTGGCGTTCTGACGTTCAGTGGGATGAGTCAGTACCGCAAACCATACACTCTCGCTGGTTAACATTTAAATCGCAGCTTGAGGAGTTAAACCAATTGTCCATCCAACGATGCGTTAAACCTGGTACGAGTCGACAACACATGCAGATACACGGCTTCTGTGACGCAAGCAAGGACGCCTACGGAGCATGTGTATACATTCGAACGGAGACCAGCCCCAATGACTATCCCCCTCGCGTGGGCCACCTTGACGTGGTGAGGGGGCTTAAGGCGGGCGTTCGGCCTGGAACCGTCGGTGCCGTTTTAGGCTCCGGCGGTTCCACCGGCTGGGCGTCCGCTGACTAAGAGCCCACTTGGCCGAGTTACGGCCGGGGCAGGTGGGAGAAGCGATGTCCCGCGGACACTTGTCCGGAGGGGCATCGTGGATCCCCCTGCAGACCCCGTGACCAAAAGGTCTTGGTCCGGGGCCCGACCGCCGGTGTCCCGTGGACAATTGTCCATAGGGGCACTGGGGGTCAA